CTCCTTGTGTGATTGCCTAGAGCAGAGTAAACAAGCCAGTGTCCAATTCAATTTTGACCACTTTCCACAGTCCCATGAGCTCCCAGATCTAGGATCCATAATTCCAATGGTTGCCCAAGTTTGAGAGTTTTTGTCAAACTCCTAAAGATGGCAGAAGGTACAGTAACTATGCACTTGGCTATAGGCCAGTTCCCAACACAGGAGATTCTGTTTCCAGGCTAGGAGCATTTAATGGAAGATGAGAAAATGATGACGGGCGAGTAGAGGAGGAGAGCACAGTAAGTCTTTGAGCAGGTATGGCTATTCGGGGTTTCACTGACTCCCTCTGCCCATCTCTATAATAAAGATGGATTTGTTTCCAATGTTCTAGTATATCTAGATTATAAGTTTATCTTTAAAAGGATTCTTGGTTTGGTTTCCCTAGCCATAAAAAGTTATTCTTCATATCAACTATCAGACAGGCAGCATATTCTAAAGAGAAAAGGAACACAGGCTTTGAGTTTAGTATCTTATCTCTACAATTAACTACCTCTGTGACTTTATGCAAGTACCTCTCTCAAGCTTACCTAAACTTCCTCATTAGAAAGACAGCTAGGGCTCGGCGCCTATGGCTCAAGTGGCTAAGGTGCCAGCCACATACACCTAAGGTGGTGGGTTCGAATCCAGCCTGGGCCGCTAAACAATGGCAGCTGCAACCAAAAAATAGCCGGGCATTGTGGCAGGCGCCTGTGGTCTCAGCTCCTTGGGAGGCTGAGGCAGGAGACTCGCTTGAGCCCAGGAGTTGGAGGTTGCTATGAGCTGTGATGCCATGGCACTCTACCCAGGGGGATAGCTTGAGGCTCTGTCTCAAAAAAAAAAAAAAAGAAAAGAAAAGAAAAAAGAAAGACAGACAGAGAGACACAGAAACAAAGAATATGACACCTATCCTGCTACCTTATAGGGCTGCTAAAAGCATTAGTGAGAGCACATATGCAATTCACGTGGAATGTATGAGGTGCTCAAAACGTCAGTTTTACTTCTCTTAGGGCAAACTTTCCAAATGTGTGGGCCTAGGCTGTCTGAAGTCCACCCTGTCTCACATTTCATGTCAGCGAAGTATGCAACACTGCCGTTCAGCTCCACAGCAAGAAAAGTGGAATCTTTTTGACTAAGAATTCTTAAAGAAGTCAAGGCTTAATTTCTTAACAGAAAGGCTCCAAACTGTGAAGAAAAAATAAAAGAATTAAAGTGTTGGACAGGCTCTGCTGATAAAAACTGAGAAAATTTATTAACAATACCAGCAATAAATGAAATGTGTAGATTATATTTGTACCGACAAAAGGATATGTGGAATGGGGGTGATTATTTGGATTAATTGAAGAAAAAAGAATATTTTTGCCTACAATATTCAATTACGTGCAGAAGTGGGTTTTCTACTTTAACACAAGCTAGATTACCTCAATTGTCTACTTCACTTTATCTATATAAAAAAGTTTAATAAAGAGTAGCGATAACCTTTTATTTGTTTATACCATCAAAAAACAACCAAAATAGACATGAAAGGAAAAATTCAAAATTCAAATGGTATACATTTCTTCCTTCAAATGGTATACATTTGCTTTTACAACACCGGAATATAAATACCTAAGAATCAGAATAAATCTTTCCTCCTGATGGTTGGCCACATTCCTCTTCTATATAAGAAAACTTTCTGAACTCTAATATGATTTCTCAGGACTGATAAGTAACCTAGGTAATAATGTTAAGTCCCCAACATGAAAAAATTTGGCAACAAAAACATAAGGTTAATTCTGCTTAAAAGACAAGCAGCCCCGCTAGTGCTATTCCCAAATGCAGTAATGTCCACGAAGCTTATCTAGCCTGTATTAAGATTTAATGTTGTGTATCCTTGGCTTTTATGAACATAGTATATAACTTCATCTTTTCCAATGTATGCTGGTTCCAATCATTTCAAAACTGCAGTTATGAACCTCTAGTTTTAAAAATGATTAAGAAATGAATTCCATATGTTCTTTCTTTTTCTTGTATGTCCTATAATTTGAGTCTTTCCTCCATAGTTCCAGAAAATTCAGAGTCAGTATATTTCTTGTTTTCAAGGTGTACCATAGAAATACTCCTAAGGTTTGATATATTTATGTAAACACTTTTAAGGAAGTCAAAATGTATGATTCAAGAAAATGTTCTGTAAAAGAATTTGTTTTCTAATTATAAAATGATTTCCTGGTTTTGAAAAAAATAACAATTTTATATTTACTTAGCTGGCTCTGAAGGTCCCAAGGAGATTATCATTCCTTTCAATTTTTAACATCTCTTCTCCAGGTGCAAGCCTTTAACCAATTTCAAAGGTAGCTTTATGTGGAAAAGAAATCTGTAAGTTGTAGAAAGGAAGGAAAAAAAGAGTGTCCTCCCCTCACGCTTTCCCCACACAGAACCATAGGGTGAAAGAGAACTAGGACAAATGTGACACCCGAATGAATGGCCGTGACACAAAGGCTTTTCATGTGCCTTTGACCTCCTTTGTTCAGGTAGGGTAAACCACCTCGATAAAGGCAGGAATCTGTCCGACAAACAAGAACACAATTTCCAATACCCACATTGCTGACTTTTTTCCAACCAGTCTGTCACCGCACCAACACATAGGAGTAAGAGTAACAGTCATAAAAACCCTGGAGTTATAGAATTTTGACTTTTCCATCCATAGGATTTCACATTTTATCTAGCAGAAAAAGGAAACCTGAGAACATCAAAAGCAGCCCAGAGACAGAATAAAAGACTATGTTTTGTTGCTGGGCAGACTGGTGAAACCCAGTTGGACCTGCCACTTTGTGTAGGAAGCTAGACTGGAAGGCCCATTTGAACAACAGACAAAAGAGCTCAATAAGCAACTCCAACCACACTACTTGGACAAAGTTTGGTCATAAGCAGATCTTCATAAAGAAAATCCGACAGCTGATCCCTTGATAATCTGGCCCTTCCTCCTAATTCAGCTGCAGTTTTACATTGTGAAAACCTGTTCTGCATTATCCATTACTGCTAGGCCCTTCCTTCAAAGAAGCAGCAGAGTCTGACACATTCAAGGGACTGAACAGTGATGATCTCTGGGCCTCAACGGCCTATGTTTAAAAAGAAAACCAATAATAATCCCTGCCCCTCTTCATTACAGGAATGTAGTAAGGACCCAAGAGAGAGGAATGCCGAAGACTTATATTTAAAAAACCACCAAAGACCCATATTGTATACAACACAAACCAAATGATCTCAAAACGCAGCCTGAGACCCTTGGGGGTCTGTGCAATCTTTCCAGAAGGTACACAACATCAAATTACTTTCAAAGTGACTATGAGGAGTTAGTTTCCTCTTTCAGTCTCATTCTCTCACGAATGCAGTTTGCCAGAGGCAACAAGGCACGTGATGATGTCATCACCCTGATGACTAATGGAAAATGTATTTGTGTTTCAATATTTTCTCAGTTTTATTTTCTAATTAAATTGTGATAGACAAAAGCTCTTTGAGGCCCTCAATAACTTTTAAGAGTGTAGAGAGGTTCTGAGACCAGTTTGCGAACCGCCAACCTACGACTTGGTGCTTCCTTCTTGCGCACTGGGAGACCTTCCCCATGCTGCTCACTCTGCACGGCAGACTCCCTCCCTCCCTTCACTTGGCTAACTTCTTACAGTCTCTGCTGCGCTGTGATTTTCTCCAGGCAACTTAGGTGTCCTGCTATGTAGTCACCTAGTACTTAGCATACTACACTCACTGTGACTATTTCCTGGTCTTTTTTTGGCCTTGGCTCTTTCCAGGTAAGGACCCATTTAGTCACTGTTCTCACTGACAGTTAAGTAGTATGTAGCAGGAATTTAATAAATACTTGTTAAATATATAAAGCAACCAATAAGGGAAATAAAAAAAACAAAAACAAAGAAAGGAAAGATGGTGGGATGGGTCTATCTTGCCTTCTTATCTAGAGGAAATTAGTTACTAAAAATAGTACAGGCTCATTAAAATTATGATAACAACAAAAATATCCATTTATCTGGTTATATACTAGGCCCTGTTTTAAGTTCTTCATATCTATTAATTCATTTAGCCTTCACAAAATCCCTATGAGGTACAGGCTAAGGTGATCTTGATTACCAAAAGGAAAGCACAGATACACAGGTAGCGAGGGATGAATCTGACATTCATACCCAGGGAGTCTGGCTTCCAAGTCCTGTGCCATTAACTACTCCACACACTGCCATGTCAGCAGTGCAGACCTCAGGCTTATAACATGTACTTAGATCTCAAGGCCATCTCTCAACTCTGCTTACAAACCAGGAACATGACCTGACATTTAAATCCCAGCCCTCTGTAAATGCCTATAGCAGCCATGTGAATAGAAGATCTCACCAATACTAACTTCCTCCAAGTTAGGGTTTAAGTAGTGCAGTTTCATTAAGTCTATTTCTCTCTTACTTGTTATATTAGAAACAAATTAAAAACAATAAATTTGTATATTTAATATTTATTCAAAATTTAAAAAACTGTTTTTAGTAGCATAGAGAAAACAGGGCAGGAAGATATGATTTCCATGTACTATGGTGTACTACAGGGCAAACTGCCCTGATATAGGTAAACTCACCCTGTGCTTCTTGGGCTAATTTCTCTCTCAAGGAATGCTCAGTTTCACCCTGAACAGGGAATGGCCAGAATGTTCTGTAGGCATACTTGATGGGAAAGTATGCCTTTCAACCTCAGAGAGGTAAGTCCAAACAGGAAAGTATGTTGTAGAGAGCACAGGATTAAATGCAGAAGATAATGTGACAGCATCACAGTGCAGCACTGTGTTTGGTATGAGAAAGGCAGAGCTAGGAGACACTTGATCATTCAGCAGTAGAAACACATTCTGCAGCTAAGCTGAAAAGCCTGTGTAAAAGCCTCTTCACCTACTAACAGTACATGAAAAACCAAAATGCATCTTATGGTGTTTGACAGAAGACACACAAAATAACTTTACTTACCTGGAGAAGTGTCCCATGAATATGGTTTTGCCGGAAATACTGGTCAGTGCAGCTGGGAAGCGAGTCCAACAGAGCGCGGACAGTATTAGGAATGTGGTCTATCATAACAAATGGGACCAAGGCACGAGCTGCCATTTCACGGGAGCGGTAGACAGGTGAGCGACCACATCTAGGAAGAAATTAAAACACGAGACCATTCAATATCCATCTCCACATTTGTGTGATGTTCTGCCTTGCTTGCATTGGGATCTCTAAGGGCAAAAGAACAGAAGCTGCTCCTTATTCCAAATGATGTTTTTTATATTTCCCTTATTCTAAATTATGTTTCTTATATTTGCATTAGTTGTTCAAGTGACTCTGCTTTGGTTAAAAACATCATTAGGGCAGGCATAGTGACTCATGCCTGTAAATCCTAGCCCTTTGAGAGGGTGAGGCAAGAGGATCACTTGAGCCCAGTAGTTCCAGACCAACATAGGCAACATAATAAGAACTACATCTCTACAGAATTTTTTTTAAAAAATTAGCCAGGCATGGTGGCACATGCCTATAGTCCTAGCTACTTGGAAGGCTGAAGCTTGAGGATCTTTTGAGTCCAGGAGTTGGAGGCTGCAGTGAGCTACGTATGATCATGCCACTGTATCCCAACCTGAGTGATGGAGTGAGACTTAGTCTCTAAAAAATAAAATAAATAAAAACGTCATCAGCATCTGATAGGCTTTGGGAGTAAGACAGTGAACAGGTCTAGCAGCAAAAAATGACTTACAACAATCAAACAACTATTTACTAGGCACTTAAAATGAGCAAAAGCAGCATATTATGGGCCATGAAAAATAAGACAGTCACTATTATCTTTAAGGAACCCATACTCTGGTTGGCAAGATGAGAAGTGCATTTGAAAAGATGAACAAAAGTACAAGACCGTATCAGGAAAATGATAAGCAAGTGATCTTGACATTATTACTATGAGAAGTCAGAGGAAGAAGGATGGAACTTAGGAAAGCAAGCATGATTCAAGTTCACCAAGACAAACCAGGAAGACATTTCATCCACAGATGGTGGTATAAAGCAAGGGTAGAAATACTCAAGGTGTGGGTTAGATGTGTATGCTTGAAGTAGATATTCATAAATAACAGTGGAAGTTAAGGCTGAGAAGATGGTTGGGCCACACTGGGCAGTGACACAAACAGCAGGAAACACTGCCTGAATCTATTGTTAAAAGAACAAAAAATGAACCTTCGAGTCATCAAATCTTTACCTCTGGCCTGACTCATACTCAAAAAGCTAAAATAAAAGCCAGTTCTTAAATGAGTGAAAGCCCTGGACACGTAGTATTCTGGCATTCTACACAGGCATTCTATAATGGCAGGCAGGTTGGCTAAGGGCCTCTTGATTTTGAAAACACTCAGAACCTAAGAGGCCACAACCATTTTGTTGAAACTGTGCACTTGAGAGCCTTCACAGATGCAGACCGACTGAGAGAAAAGTACAATTTGGTGAGTTCAGGATCTTTCATCCAATTAAAAAAATAACTCAACTTACAGAAATGTTTTCGATGCCAAAATAAGGATAGGGAAGATCAGAAGACAGGAGATTTTGCAGGAGAAATATGGTCTGTTGACTTTTTTTCCAATTTAATCAGGTTCCAAGAAGGAATTCCTGGTAAGTTATGGTCCATTAAGGCCATGTGGCCATGTAGGCTTAACAGATAGAGGAACAGAGCTCTATAACCAAAATATTTCTAACATCCAAGGTATCACCAACATTTATCTTATTAATGACAATAAAAACAGAGATACAATTTCTGTACAAATAGAATGACCTAAGCATTCCTCATGGGAGTGGTGGAAGGGAGGAGGCAGGGAGAAAGAAGGAAAGGGATGTAATGGTAAGTGAAAAATTTTGTCATTTCTTTCCCTTACGAAGGTTTCAAGATGAGAGGAGCTCATCTCACATCATCTCCAGGAAGGCCCTGAGGGCAAAGGTTACAGTAGGTAACTAGAGAGTTCCCACTGGTGTTTGACAAAGTTCTGACAACTCACCATTTTTGTCATTTATTCTTTTAAAATATTAAATGCTCACTCTGTAACTGACAAATGCAATAAATGTTGGCTTTAGCCTGTGGGGGATTACAGCGGGGTGGCTGGGGGAAAAACTTCATTTGACAAAAAAATACTTTGAAAATGTTTTGAGAAGTAATTAGCAAATGACCTCACTCAGGATAGCACAGACACTTGTTGGAAGCTTTCACGCTGTCTATCCCCCACCACTCCAACACACACACTTTTGTGTTATAGTGTGTTTTATGTTACCAAAAGGGCTCTTGTATATAAATGTTTCTTTTCAAATACAAATAACTCTGACATGGTTACAGATGTTTAGTTTCCAATTAGCAGTAACTGTACACTCAAGAATACCCCTCCTTTTGCTCCTTTTTGTAAATGATGATTTCCCAAAGGAATCTGGCATCCATTCAAGAGAAGGAATGGAAAATAGGCAAAGTGCCAGAATTTTCTGCTTTTGGATGCCCTGTGTTAGGGTACTTTCCAAATATATACAACCAGGTTAAGAAGACAAAATCTCTCCTCCAAAGAGTAATGCAATTATAAGAAGACAATTTTTAAAGTAAAATTTAATTAAGTAGCATTCATATATGATTAAATATAATTTGAAACTTCTTTCTACTAAAAGTTGCTTAAATATAAGAACAGATTATAGCCAATTTTATACATATGAGGTCTGACAATTAAGTTCGTGAAATCATCCTAGGGAAAGTGCTACATATCTCATTGCTGAATATCACTGCAGTCACCTATGAAGTACTCCCTTTGGGAAGCTGTGCACTGATGCCAGTGTCTAATCCACCCTTCAAAGCAATTTTGGAATTCTTTTTCTGGAATGGCCATCAAAGCTGTCATTTGTATTACCCTTGATGTCCTGAATATCAACAAAATATCTGCAACATTTCCTTTTTCTTCAGGTTAAGAAAAAGGTCATCGGGGGCCAGATGAGGTGAGTAGGAAGGGTGTTTCAATACAACTGTTTTGTTTACTGGCTAAAAACTCCCTCACAGACAGTGCCATGTGAGCCGGTACACTATTATGATTCAAGAGCCAAGAGTTGTTGGCAAAGAGTTCAGGCCATTTTTGTCTTTTTCACACAGTCTTTCCAGCACCTCCAAATAGTAAACTTGGTTAGCTGTTCAGTTGGTACAAATTCATAATGAACAATCCCTCTGATATAACAAAAAGTTTTCAATATCATTTTGACTCTTGATTGTACCGATGGAACTTTTTTGGTCATGGAGATCGAGCTGACTTCCATTTTGCACTTTGACACTTTGTTTCAGGGTTGTATCAGTACACTCATGTTTCATCGCCAGTGATAACATGGCCCAAAATGTCACCTTCCTTCTCCAAAAGGTCCTGGCAAACTGGCTCTCCTTTGCTTTTATTCATCGGTGAGCTTATTCAGGACAATGTTTGCACACACCTGTGTCAAAGATTTTCAATTAAGATTTCCTAACTATTTCTCCACCAGCATTTACTGGGTCTGCTATGCTTTTCACAGTCAGCTGACAATTCTGATACACAACTCGAGGAACTTTTGCCATGTTTTCATCAGTTCTGCTCATTACTGGCCACCCTGACCTCTCTTTCATTAGTAATGCTTTCTCTCTTCTCAGAAAAAAAGCTTAATATATTTGTACACTGATGTTTTCTTCATGGCATTACCACCATAAACTTGGACTAATATGTCCCTGATTTCACTTCTACTCTTGCCAAGTTTGATAAGAAATTTAATCTTTGTTGTTGCATGCGATAGCATTTAAAAACACCCAACAATAAAAATGCCACTCATTGAGACACTACCACACATCAACATGAAGATAGCTATGAGATATTGACATACCAAGATTATGGAAACTTACTGAGGTGTTTGCACGGTGCTGCTAATATAAGCAGATGGTGCCAAGTCTGCAAACTTACTTGTCAGACTGTACACACACACACATGCACAAACATGTCCTATAGGAATGCCGCAGAGGAAAGAGATCACAGGTATGATACAAACACTAAGCAACAAAACAAAACAAAACATTTCCAGGTTATTGTTTTGTGAGCTATTGGGGGCTGGGAGGAGATCTGATGAAAAATTTAGAATCTAGTGGCTATAAAGATAGAAAATTCATCCAGATTTTCATTCTGGTTTGGACACTGAGTTTTATGACTTGGACAAGTCACAGTAACCTCTCTGAATCTTAGTCCAGTTGAGTGTGGTGGCAATTATTTATATGCAATGCTCTGATGTGGTATCCTTGGAGAACACTCCAAGAAGAAATCTCTTTGGAAATACAAAGTTTTTATAGTATACTGTGCCTGTGTCTAATATAGTACCAGCATTTTTTAGTAACTGCAGGCCTCCTAAGTGGCCCCTAACAAGTTAAGACCATAGGATGAAGTTAAAAAGTAAGAAGACAACAAAGTGATGATATGAAGGCAAAGGGTTTTTTTTTTTGTTTGGTTGGTTTTTTAGGTTTTGGTTTTTTTTTTTTTTTTTTTTTGGCTTCATTAAAAATGAAGAGAAGAGTCAAGCCCTTCTGGAAGAAGTGGAACAGCCTCTGTCTAAGTCTTGATTTCTTCTATAAAATGAAGCACATGAACTGACAGTGCTGAATGGCATTTTGACCCTTAACATTCCTTGGAAATCATTTCCTCAATGGCCCTAGCTTTGTTCTAGGCCTCCACATATTAACTGCTTACTATGTTCTTGGCAGTGTGTGACAGGAGAAAGGACACATTTGTAATAGCAATACTTGAATCCTGCAACTGTACAGCTCTTAGCAGTTTATAAAATGCCTGCGCCCCTGTAATCTCCTTGTTATGCAACATTCCTATAGGACAAGAAGGTATCATAGACCTAAATTAACAGGTAAAAAAATAGGATGAAGCTCAGAAAGTCTCAGTTGACCTTCCAGGATGTGTAAGCAGCAGGCCAGACTGAGATCCACAACCCTTTAGACAGAGCTCGTAGGCTGCCCCAATCTATAGCTCACACTTGGAAATCAAGGGAACGTAAAACATCCCCCAGCTAATACAAACACAAACTGTAATTTACAAGTATGTGGGAAATCTCCAAATGAGTGAGTTTTTGTTGGTAGGTTTTTTTTTT